GTTCCACTCATTTATGCATTCCTTAGTTGATTCTTGTATGTGCCCTGACTGGGGATCAAACCCACAACTTTAGTGTATGGGGATGACACTCTAACCAACTGAGCTACCCTGCCAAGGCTGTTTGTAGTTTTAATAGTATTATATTTTAAACCTTAGCCTTTTCTAGTTTTTTCAATCAACATTGTTTTTAAAGCTCTGTCCATAGTGCTGTAGTACATCTAGTTTGTGGTTCTAACTGTTGCAATGTTTATTTCCTTATTTATCAAGATCTTTTATGTTATGAAATTGTATTTTTTCTCATTCCTTGTTAGGTTAATTCCTAGATAATTCAGTTTGTTGCTAATGTGAATGGTATTTTATTTTCTGGTTGATTTCTCTGTTATCTGGGTGTCAGCATCTGATCCTAATTGAAAGGTAACCCAGAAGTTTCAAGAAAAATCTGCAACCTCAGACACTGGATGAGATAGAGGGTCAGGACAATTATGTTCTTCAGCTCTTCAGTATTTCTCAATACATAGTCTTGGAATTTAGAAGCAGTGATGGCCTGGAATGAACTAAGATAAGCAGAAACTAGCCCCAGAGGCACTAGAAAGGCCTGCACTGGGCTGGGCTGTTATATGTTTAGAGCTCATATCAGGTCGTCATATCAGGGAAACAAAAATGTGGAGCTGGGGTGGAGAGAAGATGAAGCTACAGCAATTCCAACCCCTCTTCCTCTGAGCCTCCACCTATCCCTAGCCCTGTGTGGAGGAAGGGCTAGACCACTGGGCCCAGGCTGAAAAATATGTCAGTTTGGCTGGGACATATAGCCTTGCTAGTTGTCTCAAAGCTAATAGTGTGGCTCCTTAGCAGAATGATGGTTCATTTTATCCTCAGTCTTAGGAAGTTAGTGAAGATTTCAGGAGAATATTTGAGCCTCACTAGGAAAAGGGACCCAGGCATGTCTCACAATGACAAGTAACAAAGGCACTTCTCCAGCTCAACCAGCATGTGATGAAATCAGTATCTGTTTCTGAATGTAAGAGTCTATGTAATGATGTAAACAGAAGAAAACCACAGTGCAAACTGGCCAGACATCCAGTCAGCCAGCAAACATTTAACAAATACCTATATCTGTCCATATTGTGCCAGGTACTAGTAATATAGAGATGGACCAGATATAGTTCTTGTTCTCAAGTAACTTAGATATAAACAAATTAGTTTAGTAAAGTATTCTAGTAATTGTAGATTTGGAGTAGAGCATGGCACAAAGAAAAACAAGACTAGGAGCTATAGATTCCAGAAAGGTTTTGAAAGATGATTACATGTGAGCTCATAAACACTGAGTACATGTTCCCCAGAGAGACAACGTGGGAAAGAGCCTTCTAGGCCAAGGAGCAGGAGCTGGAGCAAGGAGTCATGAAGTCGCTTGCTGGGCTCAGGCAATTGCAGACATGTTCACACAACTGACATGTTCAACACTGTGTACTTAGACCTAAATACATCCTGAAACATAGTGTGTCATGAATGAATGAGTGTGGGAAGGAGGGAAGAGAGG